GGCAGGGTGGGGCTGGGAGGGGTGGGGCTTCCAGCGGAGCAGGACACAGGAGACCAGCGAACCCCTTCCCCACGCTGGGCGCAAGCTCAGGGAACCTCCCCGGGGAAGGACGTGCTTAATTAGATGAGCACACAGTAGGAGGACAGGCTGGCAGCCCTCCTTGGCTGTGGCGCAAGCAGACGTATCCGTTCTTGGAGACAGAGCACGTTGGCAGAGGAGGAGGGAGCCAGGGGTCAGGGTTTGGGGAAAGCAGCTGCCCGCGGGGCCGCCAGCCGGCCTCTGCTGTGAGGGAGGCGCCCGGATCCCAGGGCTACCCCGTCCTCGCTGCCCCCCTGCCCAGCCCTGGCTGGGTCCCGGCTCACAGAGCTTGCTCCGGGTATAATTCGCTGTAACCTGATTTGCGAAGACTGCACTTTGGACGAAGGTAGAGACTCGCAGCCGGTGCAGCGAGTTTATAAACTCTCCCTCCTGTGAGTTCATTAATTGACACCCTGGGAGTGTGCACGAATCCTGACTCACATCCCTGTGGCAGAGGCGTCTCCGCAGCCCTGGGCGCCCTGAGAGCGTTTGGCTTCTGCATTAGGTGCAGATCAAACCCTGAAAAGGGGGTGGGGAGGTGGCACAGATGCATGGGGGGCCCTAAGGAACGGCATTGATGGCCTGGCCCCCAGACCCCTTGGCAGCCAGCACTCCCTCCCCATGAACATCGCTCCATTCCCCAGCAGCCACCCCAAAGCCTGGCCAGGGAAGTGGCCGGGTTATCCTTGGGCTCCTGAGTCACACGTCCAGTGGTGGGGATTCTGGTGGAGACTCGGTGCTGTCCCACCTCGGGCCCACACTGCCTGGGGGGGGTGTGTGTGTGCGCACCCGGCCCAGGACACTGGGAGCCCCTCCAGGTCTCCGCTCCACCAGGTTCAGCCGGATGCGCCACAGTTGTCCCTACGAGACAGGCCTCCAGCCTCTCTGGTTTGTACTGTGACATGTGCAGTAGCTCCAGGCCACGGCAGGCAGTGGACAGAGGTCTGGTGATGAGAAGGGGCACCCCGGGTGCCCTCATCCCGAATTCTCCAGGCCCCCGAGGGCCGGAACCCCTGGGCTGGGATGCCTAAGTGTGAATGATTTCCTTACAGTGCAGTTGGTCTGAACTGCGGTAGCCTCTCAAAACCATCAGGTGAGATAAAACGTCTCAACTCTGTCTCTCTGTCTCTGTTATAAAAGGCTTATGATGGACTTAGAATCAGCATAAATACTGAAATAAGCATTGTATTCAAATCAGAGCCTCTCAGGAAAAGAATCTTACAAACAAAATCATTCAATTAAAGGACCATTTATTGCTCTGGGCTTCCTTTTAGGGAGCATAGAGGCCTTTGATGAAATCATTTCCTCCCTCTAAATACATGTATGTGCATGTGTGTGTGTGTCTGTGTGCATGTGTGTGTGCATGTGCATGCAGGTGTGTGTGTGTGCATGTGTGTGTGTGCAAGTGTGCATGCAGGTGCATGCATGTGTGTGCGTGTCTGTGTGCATGTGCGTGTGCGTGCATGTGTGTGTGTGCGTGTCTGTGTGTGTGCATGCATGCACGTGCGTGTGTGATCAAATCAACCAGCACGAAGCGCTGACATCCACCAGGACGCATGTCTCCCCACACTCGCATCACCTTTACAAAGCAAATACCCGTGGGTGGATTTCCAAAAGCTTGTAAGTCATGTGTTTCGAATTTGCATAATGTGTCTATTGGAACAACATGACACAGGGTTTTAGGTTTTACCCCCGATTCCAAAATTCCATTTCAGGCAAAAATCAGAGTTTCTGGGCGAGACATCAGGCCGGCCCGGGGTCCCCTGGTTTGGAGCCAGTGGGCTCAGGCAGCCGTGGGTGGGGCAGGAGGCAGCCATGTGGGCAAGGAAGGGTTGCTGGCACCCACAGCTCCAGGGGGACCCCTAATTACTGGGGCTGGGAGCTGGCGTTCTTTTGTTGTTAATTGTCACCCGAGGGTATTTTTTCCATTGATTTTTAGAGAGTGTGGAAGGGAGAGAGAGAGAGACATGGATGGATTGCCTCCTATCCCTGTCCCGACTGGGGCCAGGGATCAAACCTGCAACCCAGGTATGTGCCCTTGACCGGGAATCGAACCCGAGACCCTTCTGTGCTCGGGCCGACGCTCTAACCACTGGGCCACACGGGCCAGGATGGAGCAGGAATTCCCTAATGTGAGCTATTCAGGAGCCATAGGTCTACTCATAGGTAGCTGTCCT